AAATAGTTTCGAAGTAAAAGTTGCGAAAAATTTACTCTGATAAGCGGGGTGTTACATCTACTGTCAGTATATCTACAGTTGTTGTCACTATATCTACAATTATTGTCACTATATCTACAATTGTTGTAGATATAGTGACAATAATTGTAGATATAGTGACAGTAGATAAGTGACAGCACAGTGACAACAAAATTCTTCACTAGAACTCTATTTTCTTGTAGTGGATGGATATTCATCTCTCTTCTTTTGGGAGATTGTTGTGACTGATGTTCAGGAAGCTGTGGTGGACTTCTTCTCAAGTCACCAGATGACGGAGTCTTTCACAACGACCTCTGTTGTTTTGATTCCTAAGAGACCTGACCCGAGTTTCTGGTTGGACTATCGACCTATCAGCCTTTTTAATGTGACTAACAAGATCCTCTCCAAGATCCTTAACGGTCGCCTAGCCCCCCTCCTCCCCTCCCTTATCTCTCCGAACCAGAGTGGTTTCATCAAGGATCGTGTCATTAGTGATAACATTTTTTGGCTCAGGAGATGATCCATGACATCTCCCACGCGAACCTGTTACGAGCCCCGAACCTTGTGCTGAAGCTAGATATGGCTAAGGCATATGATAGGGTCGAGTGGTCATTTCTCAGGGAAGTTCTGTCTCGTTGCCTTGACGGCTTCATCCGCTACTTTCCGGGGATGACCTATAGCACGCGTGGCTATGGTCCGCCCATATCTCATCTCTCTTATGCGGATGACATTATTATCTTCACTCGCGCGGATAATAATGGACTGGCTGAGCTCATGCGCCTCCTGGGGCATTATAGCTCGGTCTCTGGTCAACTGGTCAGTGTGAAAAAGAGCACCTTCACCCTTGACCATCATATTGCCGACCACATGGCCCATTGGGTTCACGAGTGCACTGGTTTTGCGCTGGGCGACCTCCCAATTACCTATCTTGGTGCCCCTATGTACAAGGGCCTCCTCTCGCATTAGCTATTTACTGAAGTCAGGCAGAGGATGATCAATCGGATCTCCCATTGGTCTCACAAACACCTCTCTTTTGGATGTCGGCTTGCTCTGATCAAGAGCACGCTAAGCACCGTTCCGCTTCATCTCCTTACAGTCCTTGACCCTCACCAGTCTACTCTTCATGAGTTAGATCAGATCCTGGTTCGTTATTTTTTGGGGCATGGGGAGGGCTCCCAGAGAGGGAGACAGGTCCACTGGGTGAGGTGGGACTCCGTTTGCCGCCCACTCCCTGAGGGAGGTCTTGGGATCCGTCGCTTTTCGGATATCGTCACTGCATTCTCTTATAAGGTGTGGTCACGCTTGAGAAAGTGTAACTCACTTTAGGCCCAGTATATTCGCCATAAGTACTGTCCTGGAGGCGCTGCCCACCGTTGTAGGGTAACGGCCACTGCCCGCGATAGCATACAATGGAGGCGCCTCACCACGGTTAGTAGATGTGCTCAGAAGCACATATTTTGAACTCTGGGTGAGGGGGACATTAGTTTTTGGGATGAGTGGTGGTTTGGTGAAGGCCCCCTTTCGAGTACTAGACAGGTTACCCATTTTCCATTTTTGCAGGTGAAGGACCTGTGCACGGAGAGGGCATGGGATAGATATAGGCTATAGAGGATTTTGGATATTGGAGCGGGCTTTAGTGATCAGGTGATAGATGAGATCCAGTAGATTCCCATCTCGGAGGATGGTTTGGACGGTATGAGGTGGAGACTTACATCTTCGGGTGCATTCTCTACAACCTCGGCTTGGGGGGAAGTACGGATGGGTGACCGGCCTAACCTTCTCTTCGAGGCCATCTGGACCGACCTACTTACCCCTACTATCTCTGTTTTCTTATGGCGCTTACTTTTGCGTCGTCTACCGATTGATACTATGATGCAAGCGAGGGGATTTTCCTTCCCCTCGCATTGCTATTGTTGTGCTGAGACTGGCATTTTCTAGACAGAGACCTTCACCCATTTGTTTTTAGAGAGCGAGACTGTGAGGAGAGTGTGGGAGTACTATACCAGTTATACTCATATCCCCCTACACTCCACAGATACTTTCTTTGAGCTCCTGAGTTTTTTCAGATACAGCACACACACTAGACACGTGGACTTCATTATTCCTTTTCTGATCCTTTGGGCCACCTGAACAGAAAGGAATAACGTGAAGCATAGGGATAACCCTTTTTTGTGTTCCCATATTATTTTGCAAGTTGACCGACACCTCTCCCTCCTCACCGCTTTGGGCAGGCTCACCCAGAGAGGCTGGATAGGCAGCACTCCACCCCACCGCCTTGCACCACCTCCGCTGGCTCATGTCCAACATCCACGCCCTAGAGCTGTTGTTTGGCTGAATTTGAGTCGCCTTAGGTTAAGCTAAACGCTGATGGAGCATTTGACCGACTTACTAGAGTTGCAAGAGGTGGGGGACTGATTAGGACCATAGCGACTTCTTGGTGAAATTTTAAAGGGTTATTTTATGTCACTAAAACCAAGTAGCTATCTAACAAGTTCGTTTATTAATGAGACAAAAATAAAAAGATAATATTTATTTTAAGATATTAGGTTGAAGGAAATTTTTTTATTATACTTTTTAGAAGTGTGTAACTATCATAAATCTTGTAATAAATTCATAACTAGTTAACATTAATAGTAATTATTATATGATACAATAGTTAGAAAAAATATTATTACACTTAATTAGTTCAACGTAGCAGTTAATTTTCAATAACATATTTATATCAATCTATCATTCTTTTATAATTTTCTTATCATATCATAATTAAATATTATACTTTACATCATATTAATTTATGTTAATAATGTAAAATAATATTGTATAAATGTAATATTTACTTATGATGCTTTTAAAAAATAATCGATACTTTTAAATCTATAAATGGATAAATAGCAGCTTTATTAATAATAGCAATATTGATTTTTAATTAAAAATATTGTTGGGGAAAAAAAAAGTAATGGAGAGAAAAAGATGTAAAATTGGGGAAGTACTACGGTGGTACCGTTACAGAACCATTTTGTCGAGTTTGTAACCGTTAGATTAACTATTTTCGACAATTATATGATGATTTAATGATTATAAACTATAATGAAATTGTTCCGTAACTGACCGTAATATTTTTCCCTAATGAAAAATGTAATTTTAAATGAATCAAAATACGTCTAGCTAGCGTAGGTGTGTGTATATGTAAGAAAAAATGTATATATATATATATATATAAATAGAAAGAGTTCCAGAAAATCAATGTCTCATGTAGTTATGACTTGATTGAACATAGAAACTAAAAAAAAAAAAAAAAAAAAAAAAAAAAAAAAAAAAAAAAAAGGGGGAGAAATTAGAAGAAAAAAAAATCAAAAGGGGGCAGAATAGAAGTTTGCAGGCTCTTTTAGGCATTTAGTCGAACAGTTTGGAGTTGTATTTATTTATTTCAATTTTCTTTGGGGGAAGTCTATGGAGGTTAGCTTCTTTATGTTCTTTTAAGAGGCTATAATCTACTGTAACACCCACTACACACACACACACACACACACACACATATATATTTATATATATATATAAATCCTAATTCTACTGCTCAAAGAGAGAGGCTTTTGCAGACCCCAATGGTTAATTTTCATTTATTATTCTAACAATTTTTTTTTTTTTTTTTATATTAATTTGCCCTGTTTCTTGATGAGACTCTCTCTGCTGATCAGTATTCAGAAACCCAATATAAAGGAGTGAAAGAAAAAAAACCAAGAAAGAAGGAGCAAACCAATATTTTCTCTTTCTTTGTTTTCATTAAACAGAGCCTTTTTTTAGTATTCAATTTATTTGTCTTTCTTGATTTCCCCCTTTTTTCTTCTTTACTTTCTTCCGTCGTATGTTGTCCGGAGAAATGTGGGATCTCAATGATTCGCCGGATCGGAGGGGGCGCGGCGGGTCAGACGACGAGAAGGGGAAACGGGTCGGGTCTTTTTCGAACTCGGGCTCGTCGGCGGTGGTCGTCGAGGACTGCTCAGACGACGAGGGGACTGCCCGGAAGAGGACCAGCCGAATCTTCGGGTTCTCTCTGGGCGAGGGACCCGACGGCGGCGGTCGGAGCTCGTCTCCGGTGACGCGGCAGTTTTTTCCGGTGGATGGGCCGGAGACTACGGAGGCGGCCGGGGATTTCCCGAGGGCGGCCCACTGGGTGGGGGTCAAGTTCTGCCGGCCCGAGCACGGCGGTGGGACCTCGTCCGGAAAGCTTCCGGCGGCGACCGACGCGGCGCAGCCGCTCAAGAAGAGCCGCCGTGGGCCCAGGTCGAGGAGCTCCCAGTACCGAGGGGTCACGTTCTACCGGAGGACCGGTCGGTGGGAGTCACACATATGGTAATACAAGAAGTAAAGATTGAATTTTTTATTTTTTTTTCCATCTTTTTTGTGAACAAAAAGTCAATATTTTTTATCATATTTTCACATGCAAATTCAAACCTATTTTGTTTCCATGAACAATCCAGGGACTGTGGAAAGCAGGTTTATTTAGGTCAGTTTTTTTTTTTTTTTTT